TTCACCTATCACTGAAACATACGCAACACTAACAATGTACGTATTTCATGTTTCTCCAGATCAGACCAAAATACAATGCTGCAACTACAACATAACAAACGATAGACGCCAATTCAAGCCATGCGAGACGCGTGAAATGAAAATAAAAAAAGACGACCGCAAATTGAATTTCCAAAAAAATTTAATGAAACGTTCTATTTTTTCATTTCGATTACATTTAACGTGAGCAAGCGGTCGTGCATGCATCTAAGATATGCAAGTATAGCAAGAACACGCGTCGTCTTCTTCTGATTAATTACGAAAATGTCAAACATTTTCTGTGTTTTTTATTCTGTTCATATTCTCATTTTTGTTATATTCTTGTTTCCATTCATTCTTTGAAAGTTATTTTTCCTATCTAAACTAATAAAAACTCAAATATGGTAACAAGAAATGCATCAGCTGTAATATGAAAGTATTTTGAATGTTTACGAGTAGAGGAGAGTTGTGTTCATAGATTTAAAGGTACATAGGTTTGTTTTTTTCAATGTTCTGCAACTCTATTGAAGAAGAGGATTGAAAAGAGATTGAGCTGCCTTAAGCCTACTTCTAGTAAATACTTTCATTTATTTCTGTAGAGCTCTTATGACTTGGATCAAAATAAGGACGTACGTTTGTTGTTTTTGCGTTGAATCATGCTTCCGGCCATTTTCATTTGTAAAACGAAATTTCATTTGAAAAAGCCATTTGAGTGAGAATGGAAGTATCGTTCATATGAATCTATCGTTCAATTTTTGATGAGAAATAGAAGGGAAAAAAATTTTCTCTTTGCGTACAGATAAGAGATGAACAGAACGACACAGAGTATTGAGTTGCCCTCGGACATTTTAATATGTTAAAGCTTAAGAGAGATAGAAAAAAGTGGAAATAATGCTTAAAGTAACACGAGGGGGGACTGCTCAATTAATAAATAAATAGTTAAAAGGATACATTTTTAAATTGTTTAATGTAGTCTATCATTCTTCGTTTCATGTCAATTGTGCATTTGTAAGAAGTTCTTTTTTGCTTTCGTACTTTGATGAGGGTCACTAGGAGCACATAATGTGTCCAAGAGATCAGTCTAGGCTAGTGAAGATCAAATGAAAAAACTTTATTATTATTATTTATTAGACAGATGTCTTTGCGGAATTATGTCGCTTGTGCTTATTTCCTTTGTTGAACATCTCATGGGAACAGCACACAGTTCCCCTAAGTCTGCTACATCTTTCTATTTCTCTTTTCCTTTTCAGCGAATGGTCAGTAGTGTATAATGCTTCTTTCAAAGACGAACCCTTCTCTTTTTGGTCTTCATCTTCTATTCCATCCTTGTCAATCTTCACATCTGCAGCTTCTTCTATCTCTCTTGCCTCCTGAAAAATGAAATTGAAAAGAATGAATAGAAATTCAGTCTTTGTGTTTTCATGAAGAACATTAAAACAATTTAAAATTATTTTAGCAGATCAACGTGCTCGTCTTCAAGAATATTATTCATTGTAACCACCAGCTCTGACGCATCTGTTGAGAAAGAGAGAGAGAGAGAGAGTGGGAGTAAAGGGTATGGGAGGAAGGTCGGTTGAGGTGAGGAGAGGTCATTTGAAGCCAAACGAAGAATTGTCTTCAACCGACTAGCAAGCAAAGCGGTGCAATTCTCAATTTGTATACATCTTCTGTTATTTTTTCTTTTTTTTTCTTCTAAACTTTCAATCTATTGCTTCTTTTTATTTTTTTCTGCTTTTTTCTTCCAACAAACAACATGCCTTCTAGAGTTGATTCATCGTCAGAAGCATTTTTCTTTTTTTGTTTGAATGTCATATAGTCAAACTCTTTCTTGTTCTCCAGATCAGCTTCAGCTTTGTTCATTATTTTCTGCCAAAATTCTTTTTTATACTTTGTAAGCCATCAGAAGCACGAGATGATAGGCTTTCAGAAAGTTTTCAGTCATAAAACCGTTTTTTTCTACTTTCCACATCATTTACTGCAGCAAATAAAATAAAAGAAAATATGCTTTCGTGTTGAAAAAAAAAATTTGCCGAACGAGCTCCATATGAGAATGGCAAGTGGTAGGAGATAGAGAAGAAGGAGAAAGTAACATTTGGAAGATTATAACTTTCGTAGTTGAACTTACAACCCAACAATCATCTTCATCTGCTTCTAATTTGAGAATTCGTATGTCATAAAGAGCTGAACTCTCTATTATTCTTATAATATTTTCTTTATTTCATTCTATTGTTATAGACCACCATCATCAATCTCAATGCTTACTCCCGAAGGAGGAATGAAGAATTTTCGTTAAAAGCTCAAGACGATTGTCACACATACACACATACACACACTCACTCACATACACAAGAGCTTTCGTTAACTCTCTTCGTCTATCTCTTTGATTATCAGATTCTCTTCTTCATAGCCTTCGTTCAAAAACCAATGTTATGCGTTCTTCTGTGTTTTTCTGTGAGTGTTCTGCTTCCTACATCGTCTAGCCGATCTTCTGTTTCATATGACAGATATTCACAAATTCATAGAACTTCTTCGTCATTTATTCGTCTTTTTAGTTTTAAAAAAAAAGGGAAAAAGAAGACATGTATCACTTCCTCTGTCGCATTTATCATATTCGTCCATCTTCAGCAATGTTTTGTTGTTTAGATTCTCTATGAATTATAAGGAGAAGAAGAAGAAGGAGAAGAAAAAAATCATTTTTACCGCCTTTCCCATCTCTTCTGAATAATTTGATCTTTAATAGTCACAATTCTTCTTCTTCTTCTTCTTCATCAGTTGTCTGAACTTTGCATTCCTTACATAGAGATGATTGGGTGAAGAAATGTCTTTTTTCCTTTTCCTTCTTCCTTCTCCCATATAATTTTCGTTATTAAGTAATTTGTATTCTATTTTATGGCAACATATAACTAACTTGTTACATATAGTTAATGAGCTTTTCAAACATCTGTTTCCACCTTCTTCACTCATCCACACACTGTATAGATGGAAACAAGACAGACAGACAGAGAGAGAGAGAAGGAGGTAGTGAAACAAGGAGTGAGCTGTAACAGAAGAAATTTCTTTCATTTCTTCACAAAGATTATTTGCATAAATGATTTTGTGAGGTAATAATTAAAGTTATTAGATGTTCATTAAGTATTGTACATCATAAAGTATCATCCGACAACATCATTTGCCTTTTAAGGACAGCCGTCTCTCTTTCGCTAACCTAATCTGTTAGTCCATAATTTACCTTTTTGAGCATTGGCCCATAGGTAATAATAGGTGTCCCATTAGAATCATCCACTTTGCCTCATAAGACCTTAAAATCTCTTCCTCTCACTACCATCAACACCTCACACTCCTCCTCATACATACACTGTCCTCCTCACAAACACATAAATCTCATTCTCTTTCTCTACATGTCAATCTCTTTATTCTATTATTTATATTTATGTATAGATATATATTATAATAATAATTAAATTATAATTACAAATATACTTTTGTGTTCATTTGACACCTTTATTTTTTTGTTTTTTCCTCATCGTCATTTGACACTTACTTACTCATTCTACTGACTTCAGAAAAACCTTTTTTTCACACTCTCTCTCTCTCTCTCTCTCTCTCTCTCTCTCTCTCTCTCTCTCTCTTTTATAAAACTTACGTCTTTGCTTTTCAGGTATCTATATGTATAGCAGTTCTTTTTCATAAACTATGCTAACTATTTTATTATACTTCTCTAATTTATTATTTTATGCACAAGGTAAGTAATGCAATCGCTTTATGCGTCTGTCCATCAATCATATGGCAACTCTTCCTTGTTGTCACGTCAGCATCGACGTAATATATGCTAATTTTGAAATACCACGTTTTTCCAGGAGCATGCTTTCATTGTCTTTCACCAGATTCTCATCTGAAGCCAACGCTTCGACGTCAGCTAAAAACTCAAACAGATGTATTCTTTTGGCAAATTGGAACACAATGGAATGCTTGTAGGTTAGTATAATATCTATAGAGCTCTGCAGTTGCTCTGTAGGCCAAATGCTATTCGTATATAGTTAACAATAATGATATTATAGTGAAAAAGTAAATCCAATGATTCCATCAATTGAAGGGCAAATCTGTTCAAAATATCAAATGTGCGTTACACTCCAACCAAATATTCCAAGTAAGGATTGCTTAAGCTAATGTGTACGTGTGTATATGGGTATGTGTGTATGTATATGATTCCCTATATTATGTCATACAAGATTCACTTAGTCTTAGATGATCTCTATTTTTCTTGTTGATCATGTGAGCAGCGGGTGTTATATTTAAAAACTTAAATTTATTTCAAGAAATTAAACTGTTTTTTGATGTTTATGAAAACATACGTCTTCTTTTGCAAAAATATAATTTTCTCATAAGATACGTATGATGAGGATAAGCACGTGCAGTAGCGTGCAAGGGCATCTGTTGACATGTTACAGAGAAACTCAGAGATCATCAGAAGTAAATTGCTATCATACATCTTATAGTTCCTGACCTCTTGACTATTTCTTTGATTGTTTTTTAGTTGTTTTCATGAAATGTTACTATAAAATCAGGTTTGGTAATCAAAAATCATTGTAATAGTAGTATGAAACTAGACGATTGTAACCCCCTCCACCCACACCTCTCTCTAGCATCTCTATCATTCCTCTCTCTATCATTTTCATTACTGATTGTCTATTCTTATTTGACTCTCTTCATTTCTTCACATATATCTATCTATGTATATATATATATATGAGATATCATCTGATGTCGAAGAAACTGTTTGTAATTCATTTTCAAGAATCAAATTGTTTACCTTCAAATTCCATTTTTTGTCCAACGTCCACTACTTGCCAATCATTCTTTTCCTTTCTAATTATAAGATTTTACCATCTACGTCATATTGACGATGAACAGTGTTAACGTTAACGAAATATCTTTGATAATCTATCATCGAGACTTTTCAGACTCTACCTTCGTAGTTCGCGGATGTTTGGAGAGTGTTCTTCGATATAGTTGGAGGGAGGATGAGCGTCTCCATAAAGAAGGGTAAGATAGTGCAGAATTTCAGGAATAACAATACATATTCAAAGATTAGTTTCCAACAAATTTTTATAAAATCTTTAAAAGATACAGCTGTGAGATGATAAGACTATCTTTATCCCATGCTTAGCTTTTGAATTCATTATACTAGTTGAATATTTTTTCAGATGCTACATGATACGATCATTACCAATGTATCCTAATGAGCAACCCATGGACTATATCATCTGTGTATGTGCTGGAGATTACTGTAATCGTGATGAAGCTGTGAACTATGTGTCTGGACCATACAATTATGATCGAGATACCATCCTACAGTTATCACCCAATAACGATGTGTATTATGAGGGAAATGGACGAATTCAATTAGCTGTAAGCTCAGCATCATTAGTCGATAAAGCTTTCATCTTCATCTACAGTACATTATTATTTGTTTTTCTGAAATAAACTTTTTATTCTCATTTTTTTTCTTGCTTCCTACTCAATCCCCCTCAGTACCCCACCCATACATCTGATTGCCATCTAGTTGTGAGAAAAAATACAAAAAAAAACAGAATAAAACTCGTTGTGTAGTGTAAGAGATTATCAATTGGCTGTAATTCGAAGAATGATCTTTCTGCAAGTCGAGAAACGAACTTTCATTCCTCATCATTCGCCCTTCTTCGCATAATTCGAAGGTAGGTCTTGCTCTCTTTGCTCTTCTTCATTTTTTTTCTTCTTTGTTTTGTGAGTGTCCCCTTGTAACTGAATATGACCACATTTAACACATCATGAGATAAGCCACTGAAAGCCACAAAAACAAATAAGATAGATCTGAGTCAAACCACCCACTCATATTGGTCAGATGACCTTTGAAGAAGACCAATTGAATGCTATTTATAGTAACTTCTAATAATAACTTGTGAAAGTATATCATTATCTTTTTAAAGTAAGCAGTCATGCATACCAACTTGCACCACAACTACAGCTTCATCCATATATAGGTACACGTGTTTCATATGCTCGCTCGTTGGTCAGTCAATGTTTGTTGCAAATGTTGCAAACGAGTGGAACGGTTGGTTCGTGTAGACTTTCTTTGCTTTGTACGAACAATACAAAGCTATTAAGGAAACGTTTCCTTTTTCTATTTCTGATTTCTAATTATATATTTTGAACGTCCCTCATGTAGAGCAGTGATATAGGAGTAGGTGTGTGCAATCACGTTTAATCACTTAAAAATCTGGAAAACAAGTGGGGGAATGATAAATTCGTGTAACCATTAATAATCCTCTTCACGTTCCATTACCGTTATCAGGTGATACATTGCGTCTTCTTTGAACATGCCTACCTTATACTGACCAAATTAACGGTGGGAGATTTTTATCTTCATAATTGTCATTAGGTGCTCCAAACTATTTGAGGAATGAAAAGTACGTAGGATGAGTCAAATGTTGGAGGCGTTTAATGACTGTTTGCACAGATGATGTGATGAAAGCGTTCTCCGTTAGAAGAGTTGAAAAAAAGACCAAAAAAATTTCTGTAGGCAATTTACTTCCCGCTAGTTTATCTCTCTCACTTGCACACATTCATTGTCAACCGAAATACATTCTTTCAATGTCGCCAGTTGTCAGTTTTCTAAATTCGTTTAACAGTATGAATAAGATGAGCTACATTGAGCTGAAAATGTTTCGAATATCTAATATATATATATATATCTTATTTTGTTTATAAAAATATGAATATAATTACATTTGCAAGACGGAATAAGAATGCTGGAATGCGGAGCATTGTCGTAAGAGCTTGAATTGTTAGTCATTCCAATTTCCGTCATCACCACGGCATTATCCATTGTTCCATGTCTGCCATCCAAAGCTCTTCAATAATTGTCCACCCTCGTTTTTTTTTGGCTCTCCATTGTGTAATAATGAAAATGACTTTTTCCGCTATCTTTTTTCTTCTCTTTTTTTATTTTTTTTTCTTGCTATTCTATCAGAACAAGCACATATGAGGAAGATGATAAGATCGTCGACGAGACACATTGCTTGATGCAGAAAGATATTAGGAAAAACAATAGGTCGTAGCGGATTTGATTTGATATCAGTTATTAGCTAATCATCCGGAAATGATATTAAACTGAGTAAGCTATTGAAAAGGAAATCATGCCCTGTTCATGTCAATAGAGCGATTAGATCATTTGTGAAAAGCTATGAAAGAGAGTACCCTCCTCGTTCCTTTTCACTCCCACAATCCGAAAAGGATTAGAATAAGAAAGTAAGCAACTGCTTCAAAAGGCATTATAGCATATGATTATGTAAAGGTATATTGTATTTATCCATAAAAACGTGCTCAACCTATTTAAGAATATATTTGCACAATTGAATTGGTAACAAGAATATTCTGATTAATATGATATGAAGAAGCATATTCTATTCAATCAGTCATATTGAGTATGAAGAAGGAAGAAAGTGGCAGTTGAGACTCTTTTTTATTTCCTTAAAATTTCACCTTTTCCATATACAATTAACTATGTTTATAATGCAATATAAAAATTTCAAAACATGTTTCGGCTTCCCCCCCCCCCCCCCCCCCCCCCTCCGCTGTTTCCGTGCGTTTCCGTCATAGTTAAGATACATAGTTAATATATTCTATCGTTCTTAATATCTATGTACTTCGCCCGTTCTCCAGATTTGTTCATGGAGATCCATCAGCGGAAGTGGTTTCTTGCCAAGTCTCTCGCATCTTCTGTGTAAATGCGTGTGTGTGCGTGTGTCCGTGTTCTCTGTGTGTGATCAAGTTTAGAAGGAAGTTGACAATTAAGATTATTATATTTTCACAAGATCATTGTATTTTTTCAATTATGAGCTGTTAATGAAAAAAGGAAAAAAAGTTTCTGTAATCGTTGATCGTCCTTTCATCAGTCTAATATGCTAACTACATACCCATCGTTTACTAATTTCAAATATGTATATTGTTAACTCGGAGCACAATCTTCAGGTCGTATTAGGACGATTGGTTTTTCAATTGTTATTCTTCCGTTTCCGCTTCTAATCTTCTGTATTAAGAGATTTCACGTAAAGGAACCAACCGGACTCTGCGCTAGTAATGATTTGAAATGAAAACGTGATCGAACTTGCAGAGGAACAATAAGAACAGGAAACGCGTCCTTTACGTCAACGACGTGAGAATTTTATGCAAATTTCTGAGAATATCCACACACACATACGCACACATGAAGATACAGATATACACAGAGGTGCACATGTGCGTCTCATAGATAACTCTAGATGGATTAATAAAGTGTGTCATTCATATGGTTAACTCATCAATTATAATCAGAAGCAGCAACAATGACCAGTTTCGTTTCTTCAAGTGTTAATGAGCATGAAAGAAGCTGATCACATAAAAAAATTATTCAAATTAATGATGATTCGAGACTAATTATGCCTTTTCGTGATTATTCAGTTTAATACGCGTTGTGAATTCGATGATCAACATTCATAATCACATTTCGGTACATATGAGTAGAAGCAGTCGAATGTCCTTATTTGCAAGACTTCCAAATGTTCATTATACGGAATGGCAGGAAAGATTGTAAAATATGTATAAATGATTAAAGATACAGTTTTTCCTTTTTTGGACGACAAGATTGAACGTTCAAACTCAAAATTCCTTTCTTCTGAACCTCTTCCTTGTGTCCTGCTTTCACCTACCCTGCTGTCTAACACCAATGCAACAGAAAAAGCGAATTGAGAATGAAAAGCCGGTTCACCTTAGATGAATTATACCCACATAAAAAACACTTTAATTTGGAATTCTCCTCAAAATCCATACAGGCTCAACGATTAAGCCAAGTAGCTTATCCACGAACGGAGTGAGAAAGACTACGCATAATCATAGTATGAAATAAACAAATAAATAAATTGTGTGACGTATTAGATGAATGTAAAGTTCGCGTTTGAGGCAAACTTGGGTGAAAGCTTAATCTGCACAGGCAATATGGTCTGTTGTCAATTCTTTTTTCTTTTTTTTTTTATTTCAAATATTTTTCTGCTTTTTTTGAGATTTCGGATGAAGCTTCTTTCCTGTCGAACGAAATGAAAGTATCAGTTAACATCCACTTATGACTACAAGTCAAAAAATATAATTTCCTTATGTAAGAGGAGGACTAGAAATGAGTGTGGGATAACGGTAAAGCTAGATGAAGAATCAGCTTTTCAGTTTCTCCTCTACCATGTGTTCGAAGCGTCATGCGATGGTGTAGTTTGAAAAATGTTCTGAAAAGACTGGTGAATACACTCTGTCTTTCACTCTCTTTCATCTAACTAATTCAATTCGGAAGTTCAAGTTTGTTGAACGGGTGTGATGGGACAGTTTGATAAAGTTTGTGTGAAATCATCATGTCTTCATCATCGTCCATCACATCATTTTAAAATATATTTTAACAATCCTCATTCAGAGACGGTTTTTTTCCAGTGTTGATAATTTTGTTATAAAAGACGATAGGGGGAGAGAGAGAATGAAAGAGAGAGAGAGAGAGAGAGAGAGAGAGAGAGAGAGAGAGAGAGAGAGAAAGAGAGAAAGAGAGAAAAGAAGAGA